GGACGGTCGCTGCTCTGTGCCGACAGCAGACGACACTGCAGGGGACTCAAGATGGATTCTCTTGCCAGCCAAAGACACTGGATCCAGTGTGACGGAAGAGGTTTACGCGTCAAAGGGGGATTGGGGGGCATTTTCTATTTCATCCAAAGCCTTTATGGGACTCCCTACCGCACTTTCATCCATGATCCAGAAAACTGCAGTGATGACGGCCCCTTGGAGGACACTGGGTTTCTGTTAGGTCTCGTCTGGCCCGCAGTCTGCCTGCTTCATCGTTAATATTATTATATTATTATTTTCTTGTCTTGAGTGATAACCAATGAACTGTAGCTAGGAAAATGCAGTTTTAGTTTTTTATTTTACTTAATGTTTAGTTATATCAGGACTACTTTATTTCCCATGTATATGAAAATAAAAATTCTATTTAGACACGTCCAATTATGTCCTTTCAAAACTATTAATCACTAACTACTAAAAATTCGTCTGAACAGTCACTAATGAGTAATTTCTCCATTATATGTTTGTTTACCAACTCAGTAATGGCAGTCTTGAAATCATTAAAAATATTTTGACGTGACTTTGATGGCAAAACTCTTTTGAGTCCCATATTGTTCACATGTATACACGTACATGGATGGATAGATTGAATTTGCATGTCCTTCTGAGATGGTATTCTCTCCTGTTTCATCAAATTCATATACTCTCTCCTTTCCATCTGCTCTACAATATATAATCTCATACCACATAGTCACCAAAGCTTTTCCTTTCTGTTTAGTACTGGCTGACTAGGATAAGAGGTCAGAAAATTAATCGAGATATATAAACAAAATATACCCGCATTGTATAAATGGATTTAAAGGTGGTTTGGCAGTGACACAGTGCATTCCTTAGGTCACCTTCATGCATGGCCTCATTAAGCGGCTGGTTACACTAACAGCCATCTATATTCTGATTATTGTTATTTTAAGGAACATGAGGTTAAAAAAACAATGATCTAATAGAACCAAGAACCAGGCCGTAGAATAACAAAGGAAAGGAAAATCTGTCAGAGTTTTCATTGATACAGAAAGAAACAAAAGTAGTTAAACAGACGAGACCTCAATAGTTTGATTCGACAGGAGTGTTTATTTGTTGGAACAATTTGAATGTGTATGTGAAAAGTGATTTGGCGAAGCCCGTCTCTTGGTCGCCGGCTCTATCGTCCCTGAAGCTGACAGATCTGGCTGGGCGACTGGGATTAAAGCCAACCCTGGACTTTGGGGATCCCATGGGGTGAGTCCGGGTCCCATTTATACTTGTGCTTAACTGGGGAGGGGTTTGGGATTCCCCACGATAAACTTTTCCGGGACACATTCCCGTCAGCCATCCTGAAACCGATACCCATCTACTGGATGGAAGAGGTTAGCCGCCATGGTGTTCATCAGAACGAAAAAGTTAAAGATTAAAAAAAGGAAGAGTTTGTTAATATTTCATGGTTGTTGTGAAAACGGAATGAGTGAAGCAGCCTAAGAGCGCATGGAGCAGTTTCTCAAAGACATTTGGCACTGGCCGAATCACCATATTGCTTCCTGTTTTGTAAACCTGACTGGGTGTTCACCACGCGCTCTGTCATCCTTCCCCACCTGATCATCAATGGAAACCCGAAACCCACTCTTCCCTTTAAAAGTCCTGCTTCTGGCGATGTCCCGGGGCACTATGAGAAACAAGCCTCGATTGTCCTGTCCCGCGAACAGAGAGAGAGGCTTGTTCCTTCCTTCGCTTTAAACGTTTATATAGTGGAACATTTGGTAACAGGCTTCTTGCTGGCTAATGAACTTTTCCATCGGGCGTGCAGGTGTTTCAAGCCTACTGTCTGTCCACCTTAAAATGAAACACTGTAATTAAAGTCAAAAGAGAAGTAATTTGCTTTATTAAATAGAGCAGTATAACTACTTTACTATGAATATATAATAAACATTTGTGTGTGTGTGGATTATGTTTATATTACATATATTACAACCCTTTCAGCGTGGGTGGAGCAAGGACTTATATAGAGAGCATATATATCATATATTCAGTATGTGTGTGTGTGTGTAGTGTATGTTTATGTTACATTGTGGGGACCAAATGTTCCCCACAATGTAATAAAAACCTGTTATTTTGACGTCATGAGAACCATTTTTCAGGTCCCCACAAAGATCTGTGAATGCAATCAAAAAAACTTTAAAAAGTCTCATATTTTGTTTGGTTACTTATGGTTAAGGTTAGGGTTGGGTAGGATTAAGGTCGTCATGTTGGGATTAGAGTTTTCCCCATAGAAATGAATGGGGAGTCCCCACAAAGATATAATTACAAACCTGTATGTGTGTTTGCGTGAATATTTTTTTTTTATCGCTAGAGGCTTGTATACATAAAAAGTTTATGTTCTAACTGAAAGCATATTTATCTGCTCTTTTTACAAACCTAGTTCAGTTGGGCCTGGGTTAATGTAGCCCTTCCTCAGGAATGCCTGCAGAGGGCAGTAATATTTTTCATAAGAGATCATTGTTGTTTTACAATATTGTAAATATTTCTCAGTATAGCAACTTTGCATCCATAACAGGTTTATTAAGGAATCGTTTTTAAGCCTTTAAAATGGTAAAATATGACTTTAGTCTCATTTTATTGTCTCTGGGGTAGGAAAAAAAATATGTTTATAATGACAAAGATGGGAATTACGTGTAAGGCAGCAACCGGAGTGTTTGCGGATTTTACATTGTTCTTAAAAAATGAAGCTCAAGATGGACCTGGAGAGCATTTCTGTTAGGATTACAGTAATTAACGTAAAAAGTGCAGCTGGTATTTATGCTTATTAATCACCAGAGGCGCTGAGACAGCAGCAGTCAGCGCACAGAACCCCACTACTGTCGGCACTCGGTCTCCACTTTCCAGTGGCACTGGAGCTCACTGCCTGTCATAGCTGAGCATGAGACGAGTTAATAACCAATAACGAAGGCAGTGGATCGAAACAAAGCCCACTATCGGCCTCTCAAAGCACAGATATGCTGTTCAGTGGTCTAGGAGTTAATAAGATGCCTCAGACACTGGGATTTTACGTCCCGTTAGGTCACCCCCACTTTGTGTGGCTCTGAACCTCAAAATAAGAGTTAGCTGAAAGCAGCCTGTGCTGTCACTGCATGCCCCCCTGGCTGTCTCTTGGTTTTTAAATGTTTACAGTAAGGCTCCTTCATATTCATACAAGACCCATATACTAACATTTGTATCAATTTCAGAATACACACTGTGTACTATACAGTGTTTAACTTTCTTGGAAAGTGATCAGTATGTCATACCTGTCGCTGATGTCATATCTGTCCCTGATGTCATACCTGTCCCTGATGTCATACCTGTCCCTGATGTCATACCTGTCCCTGATGTACTGATCAGGTAATTGAACTTGCTCTGGGATGGTGGCAGGTGGAGCCTAAAACCATCACTAGTGCTCTCGACCATAGAGCTCAGCTGGCTTTCAGTCAGAGCTTTGTTTTATGGGGCTGAATGGAGTAGGTCTGTTTCCTCTGGGACTGTCGGTTATCAGCGAGTACTGGCTTGGTGGCTTGGAGCTCAGGGGTCTTGCTGGGTTTCTGGGTAGCCGGTGTGCTATGCCACCCATGTCTTGTCTTTGGGGTTTTATCCTACGTGTATGTCCTGGTTTTTCAGTTCTTGCTCCTTTTAGGTTCTCTAGTTCCTGGTCTGGGATCGTCAGCCCTCCGCTATTGACTCTGCCCTCTGGTTCATCTCATCCTGGAACTGTCCATCCGGACAGCAGCCCAAGTCCCCCTCGCTCCCCGTTTCCAGCAGTGTTTGGACTGTTGGTCTCAGGGCGCAGAAGACCTGGCATGATGGATGGATAGTCGGCCCAGGTTGAACTGTTTGTCATAGACCTTGGTGTTGAAGGCCAATAAATGCTTGAAACCAGTAAGCGCTTATGTCCACCTTATGACACAGTAGCCTGCAACTAAAAATACCTGTGATGCAATTAACTTACATTAAAGAAACAAAACTGCAGAAATAATAAATTTTATCTCTCTCTCATTCTGTGCTCATTACAGGTTAATGAAGTCAAATCCCTTTTGTTAAAAGCCTTTGGTTGTAAACTTTGTATTCGTTTTATAAAACAAGTTGCACCTTCAGTGACATTCCCACCAGAAGGGCAACATGCAGTTGCCAGTTTCCGCATGCAGAAACTGGAGTTGCCACATGTATGTAATGTAACTGATGCATTAGCATTATTTTTTGCTGAGTCGGCACATTTGATCAGCCATCTGGAAAGCAAAGGACAATAGGTCGCCTTTCTCTCTCAGACTGCTGCACAAAACATCAGGCTGCTTTATTAAGGTGGGTCCTCCAAAGAACTGGGAGGCAGATAATGGGCGACCTCTCCAGTAAGTGCACTGGTCTGCTTCTAAAGTGAGGAGTTGCCGCCCAGCCCAGTAATGGGGTAGCTACATGACCCAACAAACAGCCAGTGTCAAATCAAGGTACTGGCTCTGTTAAATTGGGGGAGGGGGGTGAGGTAGAGGTGAATAGGCCAAGACGTAAAGACATGCATGCTTGGTTGAACTCATTTTCTGAGGTGCGCCACTTTGGGCCAGCGAGGTCATCAGATGACATTCCCTGAGAAACTTGGGCGGGATTCAGCCTCCGGTCCCCATCTCCACATGCTAACATTTAGCCTGCAGAGTACGACGGTCAAGGAAGCCCCTCACTGCCAAACCTCAAGCTATTGCAAACACGTCGCCTGATTAATCTGTTTATCGTAATTTAATCTCAGTTTATTGCAAGTATTAATCTCAACTGAGTAACTCATTGGGCTGTATCATCAGATGGTGGCTCATTCCTGGGCCAAGTAAGATAATGGGACAAAGAGCTGAATATTAGATTATTATATTAGAGCTGCTTGGATGCCTAATTGTGTATAGCCATCATAAATAAATACATACATACATATGTACAATGCACAATGCATGCAAAATGAGCTTAGTAAAGAAAACCACTCAAGAAAACTCATAAAGCTGTGCCGATCTCATGTCTACTCTTAATATTTAGATTCATAAGGAAAACATTACCTGAATATGTAGGACAATAGTTCCCGAAAGCATATGGCAGACTTCTGACAGAATTTCATCCTGGGAAACCAAACATGCCAACTATGCAAAACTAGCCATAATAAAATACAGTGGCATGGGGGCAAAACACACCATCCTCACTGAGAGGAGGATCCTGAAGCACCGCATGAGGACAGTGAGAGAGAGACAGGCAATGAGCTGGCGGAGGTCACCCCAGCCACGGCCGAACCCTTGAGAGTTGTCACTTCTGGGTAGGTTTCAGCTACCCCTCCCCGGGAGAGCAGTTAAGACCCCTGTCGCTCATCCAGCCATGAAGTACAGGACAGCGGTGACGTACATGGAGATCGGCTGCTTCGTGGTCTGCCTACTGGGGTGGGCCTTGGTGTGTTCCACCCTGCCCACTGAATACTGGAACATCTCAACCCTCGACCAGGGTGTCCTGACCACCGCTAACTTCTTCTCCAACCTGTGGAAGGACTGCGTTTCTGATTCCACCGGGGTATCCGATTGCAAGGAATTCCCATCTCTCCTGGCGCTTGAGTGTAAGTGAAACCCCCTTCATTTCCTGCTCTGCAGGAACGGAGTCGGGCTCATAATGAATTTGTGATAACAGCTCGTTTTCTGTTCTTTCATGGCAGTCGTCTGCTAACTCTAAATGTGACAAATATGCTGGTATTTCCCCCAAAACACTGGTCTTTCATTCTGCCTGCCTCTTTCCCCAGTGGGAAAGGGCAAATAGATTATCTTGGGGAATTTGGGGACTTTACTGGTCTAGGTGTTCCTCCAACATTTTGCAAAATCATTATGGTCCTGAGTTCTGTGCTGGCTGTGGCTTAAAATATCGTGAAATTTCATTCGAAATCACCATTGTCATTTAACATCTTTACATGATGATAATCAATCAATTTCAATGTCTACTTTTTCTCACTGTACACTATCAATGTATTAAATATCATGAAAACTGCAGTGACGGCAGAGCCACAAACAGGATTACTGATGGTGTGAGGATTTGTGGCACTGTAAGTTACAGAAACTAATAAAACTACAGTTGTATGAATGGGTATAATTTTTGTTTGAGATTTAAGCAACGGCAAAGAAGGTTAATTTCAAATCAACACAGAACTGTTTGATATTTGACACAAATAACTAGGTATTAAACAAATGCAGCTGTAGTAGTTGTGGACATACAACTAGAAACACAAGAAAAAATAAATAACAGTATAACTTAAATGTGAACCTTACAAGTTAATGTTCATTTTCACATGAGATCTATCCTTTCATCTTGCAGCTGCTTGTCCAGTAGAGGGTAGGGGGCTGCGCCCAAGAATTATATAATAGTGTATAATAGTATGGAGAGTGAAAGCTGCAGATTATATTGGCAATTCAACCAGCAGGGGGTGTGCTTTTCCGCATAGCCACAGCTCACAATAATCCAGTTACAGTGCAACTTTAAAAATGTGTACCTGGTTATTGAGCGCAATTGGGATGTGGAACGTGTGTGCCCCCCCGTCACTAGTGAACATCCACATGTGCCGAGCTCTCGTCATCATGGCCATCATACTGAGCTTCTTCGGAGCCGTTCTCTCCCTGGTGGGAATGAAGTGCACCAAGATCGGCGGGTCGGATGTTGCCAATGCAAGAGTCACTTTCGCAGCAGGAATAAACTACATGGTTGCAGGTACGTGATTCCCAGAGTAACCCCCCCAATGCCTGGAGTATTCACACTAAGCTAATAGGATTCCCTTACAGGGTTCTGTGCCATGATTGCATACTCCTGGTATGGAAATAAGATCCGGAAAGAATTTGTGAATCCTAATTTCAAGGCCGCAAAGTAAGTAAAGCTTATCATCTATCTATCTATCTATCTAATCTATCTATCCATCCATCCAACTGCTTATCCAATGGAGGGTCCTGGAACCTACCCGGTAGACCAGGCCAACACACAGCTCAAAAAGACCTTAAATAGTATAAGTCTGCCGTTGACTTCACCCTAACAGATGCATTATGGGTTTTTCTTTTTACAGATTTGAACTTGGAGCAGCTCTCTTCGTGGGCTGGGGGGGGTCCTCTCTGCTCATCATAGGAGGCTTCATTTTAAGCTTCTTTGCCAAGAAGGAGGGTCTGCGGTGCAGGTATGGTGATGCCCACCGCGAGCCGGAGGTACCGGCCGTCTCCTCCTGGTCCAAGACCCACCCTGAGCTCTGTGCCTTTCTCTCCCCGCACTCCTGTGCCCTTCAGATCCACCCTCCAGCCGGAGCCCACGCCCTGCACACCAGCTCGAACGCGGAGGACCACTATAATATCACTGGCATTCAAAGAGGCGTCCGAGGGCAGAAAGACCAGGGCCACCATGACCCCCAGCAGAGCCCCCACTGACACCTACGTATAGCCTACTGCACCCTGTCCCTGGCTCAATAAGGGAGGGGCTTGTGTTTCACTTATTTAACCATTCACACTTCATCATATGACATCACCACATTAATTAAAACCAGTATTTGCTGTTAAGCAGCAAGGTGCACAGATTTCTAGGGTGTCCCTGTTTTACTGCCTTTTGCTTAGGGGCACGTCATAGATAAAATATAGGAATATACTTATATATACATACATATATACACACACACACACACACACATATATATATATATGGAGCAATGTAAGGATGTGTCTTTATCTTGTGATGAAAATGATAATGCCAACTACAAGGCTCTAACCAGCAGCTTTCCCATTACAGGGACAGAGGCTTAGCCTGCTGAGCCACACACTGCCCCCTGATGGCTGGAAGCCTTGAGTTTGAAAATGAGAAAAAACAATGTAGTGATGTCATACAATGAAGTCTGTGATTGGCTGAAAAGCAAGTCCCTCCCTTGTTGACCCAGGACACATCGAACTCTGTAAAATCAGGATGAGAGCAACCTGTATGCCTTCTGCTCTGTGTGGATGCACCTGTGGATGTTCATTTACGATTTTTCAATGTGATATATTTTTAATGCGTGAAAAATACAATTCACATAAGAATTGAGCTGAACAGTTTACACTATTACTTGTTGTGGGCAATGACAAGAAAGACATTTGATTCTATTAAGGTAACACCATTTAATATATGAAAGTAAGTGTGAAGTAGATATGAATAATTGTACATGCTTAGAAGCCCAACTGTCTGTTTGTGGTGGGTATTTTCTTCCCAACAAAAAAAAAGACTTTTTTTTACATCATCCACAGCTAAAAGACAGTCACCACAGATGTACTAAATACCAAATGACTTCTTTGGTACAATTCAGGGACAATTCAAACATTTAAATTAGATTTGAAATTAGACCTCTGTTCAGGACTGCAGTAACACACCATACTCAGTCCAGCACTACAAAAATAAATCAACAGTTCAAATTAAATCACAAAGTTCAGGATCTTTTTCCAAAAAATAGTGTGCAAATATTATCTATACAAATCAATACAACATATTACAATTCACAGTTTGAATTTACATGTTCACTCTGTAAATTATTACTATCTAAATAGATGGCTTGTAGAAAAAAACAAACAATATTGCATAAATAGAAAAACCTGCTTTAATCATTTCATAGCAAACTAATTTTCTACATTTTGATCAATACTGTGTATGTGTTTACTGGACACATTCACATTTAATATATTTTGAATTTTATGGATATGGAAAGTCACACGTATAACAAGCCCTAGAGTACTAATACAGAAAACAGTAATGTAACTTCTTGCTTAGTAAAACACTGTATATATTTATTGGTATGTATTGTGTTTATGAAAATTATATGTTATTATATGAAAATCTCTAGGAAACCTGAACAAACACTTATCTGAAAGGTGCATTAACCTGTAATGTATTGCAGCATTATGAAGGAATATGAAAAGAAAATATCCGTAGGCTAAAATGGTTTGGAGAATTAGCCCTGCTCTCTGTTATTCCATTGACATCAGGAGAGGTAGCCTTTACATAGAAAACACCGAAGCACCATTCAGTGGCAACAGCCGTAAACATGGACAAAGGCAATGTGAAGTCAGCTCTGGGACGGTGTACACATACCCTAAGCATCTCTGTATGAGGGTATGTACACGCTAAACTGTGCAGCGCATAAACAGCTGTGCACCTGTAGAACGATTCATTGTCTAACTAATTAAGTTCCCTTTAATGAATCGTGTTAAAATGTAGCCAGTTAGATCACATAATGAGGACATTGATAACCTGCGGTGGTTAGTTTAGTCTCTTGTTCTTAATACAGTCCCTGCTATCCTCACCACTCACATTTTGTCATTTAATAACCAAATAGTCTACATATTTATTGTCCTTCATAGAAAAATGCATCTAAGACTCAACAAATATAAAAATAAAAATAACAGCCATCTATTTGCAATATTCTAATTTTCTTCTACAAATAACATTATTAAACAGGCACAAAGGATAGTGAGGTACATTTCCAGTACATGTCACTGCTGCTGTACCTTAGAAACTTGTTCTATTGCGAAGGAAGTCATTTACATGAAGGTAGCTGGTCCCTTCATCCTTTGATAATAATTACATTGCATCTGAGACGCTCCAGTCACTGACTGTCACAATGCTGCTTTTCATGGTACTGGGGGTGTCCACATCATTCTGACCTATAGGGGAGTAAGACAATATGTGTCATTTAATATACACGCAATGAGTCCAAATATTATGACCATCCCCAAGTGAAGCGAATAATGTTGACTGTCTAGTAAAAATGATGCAAGTCAAAGTGTGGGACATATTAGACCGTAAGCAAACATTCAGTATCCATAGTTGACATGAGGAATGCGACTGTGGAATGTACAGGGATAAAGATGAGGGCCAAATCATTAAGGCAAGGCGACCGGGTCAGAACATCTCCGAAACGTCAAGGGCTTGAGGGAAAAACCAGGAACAACTGACAGGGTGTTTGGGCGGTCAGGAGTAATCAGTGCGAGAAGTGAATGAAGGCTGTCCTGTGTGGTATGAACCCACAGGACTACTGTGGTACAAATGGCAGGTAATTTTGAACATGCTACCCCCCCCCCATCACATGTCAGGAAGCATCCTGCCTAGAAACAGTAGAAGTGTGGTTCCATCTATTCTAACTGCACTTATACCATTGCTAATTTATTTTAATAACATTTAAATATTCGTATATAGTAAATTTAAATAATTTTATTTATTTCTGTAGCTTTGCAAAATACTGCTTTCGGGATATTTATATAGTGTACAATCTGATTGCACAACATTTTCGTTGTTTACACTATACGTACTGTCTTTCAACCTGGTCTGTTTGGCACTATATGTATGTTCGTCTACACTATCTCCTTGCTGCTGTATGCACCAGAATACCCACTGGGATCAATAAAGCAATGAAGTCAATCTTAATTTTATCTGGGTAGTAAGTGTATAATTGCTCAGGGAAAAAAAACATTCAGTTTACTTTGCTACATAATTGAATAAGGTACTGATTAGCCAAACAATATACGCTTGTGGTCAAGTCAAAAATACACGGGTATACTGGACAGATGCTGAAAATACTGGGGTGACTTTAGGAGATGTGTTTCAAATGGCTGAGCTAACACACTTTGACAGAAATGAAGTCATAGTTTTACACCAACATGAAGCATTTTCCTTGCCTGCCTAAGACTTTTTGCACAGTATTGTACAATTCATTGGAATAGCTGTTAATGAATTAAATATAGTGCAGCTTTCGTCATTTTCTGCACTATTCCACAACATTTATAATGCTTCACAGTAATTATATATCTCTCCTCCAGTAGTACCTTTGTGTGTTTTTCCCAGTGAGGAGCCCCAGATGCTGGTATTGCTGGAATCAAAGCTCTTTTTCACAGGAATGTCCTGTAGCTTGGGTGCTGGTGACTTGTCCTCCAAAGAGGAAATATCCCAGTCGTCATCGTCATCTTCATCCGTTTTTGAACTCTGATAATACAGGGCAGTCAAATCATTTATTCTGAGTTTGTCATGTGTGTTTTTATCCTGGAGTGCCTTCAAGTTCATGATGCGTTTCTCTTCAATTTCCAGGGCAACATCACCTCTGCCAAAGTTCCTTCTAAAGCAGAAAATCTCTCAGTCTTTGCCACAGAAGCTCCTGTCAAACCTTCCCCTACATCTGTGCTGGTCCTGCGTTTTTATACGTGACCCAGAGCATGGTGGGATGCCGACTGGTTCGGTTACTGGGGAGCCTCACCTGTGTGGTGGCACCAGTTCTCTAAACACTTCGCATCCCTCATTCACTCCATGTGTTTCCTCCAAGCAGGCAGCCACCGGCATTAACCTGATTAACGCGACAATGATAAACAGAGCGACTGGCAGAGATGGGAGACCCGGTACCATCAGGTCACAATCATGACCTTCAAAAGCCTTACAGCAGACCAGCAGGTTTTACGGGGTAAAGCTGTATATAACAAGTGGTACTTATTAGGCACTTTCCTACTGCAGGAACCTTTTTTTGCAACACAAATCTTTATCAGGAACCAATTCTGTCGCATTCACAGCACAGGAACTCGGCCCAACTGTAGTTCCTGAATCTTTTTTTAGTCCCTACTTCGGACTATTTACTCTTCGCCTGACCAAGTACTGGGTGGGGCTTATAGCAATAAACTTGCTGATTGGTTAACCTCAAGCACCGGCTCTAACTTGGAAGTTAAGAGAAAGAAGAGAGACAGAAGTAGCTGAGCAAAAACTGAGCAGGTGGAATAATTTTCGTATCTCAATTACATGAAATGCATTAATACCTTTTTTTCTTTCATCTCCATGTTTCTACATCTGAAAATTTGATCGTCAACTAACATACATCTGTTTAATATTGCTGGTGCAGGATAATGTTAAATTACTTTTTTTCTGTGGAAAACAAACAATCAATCTGCTGGCCAGATTTAACTTGGAACTTGAAAATATCCAACTTTTCCCAATATCAATATATATCATGGCTGAATCTCGTATTTATGGATTTTTTTTCTACAGCTCAGCTGTGGCATGAGTTGAATAAAAATCTGCAAATAAAAAGGAGCGAGATCATGAATGTAACGTGATACACAAGAAGACAGGACGTGATCTGCAAATGTACGAGATACGTTTCACGTGTAAAAATAACTTACTTAGATCAAAAGACACGAAGGACAAGTAAACTTACAGAGGCATATGAAATTAATACCATTGTGGTCATTAGTTTGAGTTTTTTACAGACAGCATAAATTAGACTTCAGGTAAGAATGTCTTTTCCCTGTAGTAAGAAATGCACAGATGCGCATTTTGAGAGTATTTAACTTACAGTATATCACATACTGAATGTACTGTTACGTCATGTTCCTAAGGTCAGCAACACAGCTGATCTTCCTCACCTTGAGTTCCTGCACGATATTACTCTTGTCCGGTAAAACGTTCACCCCTCCCAATGGTTTCTTCACCTCACGATCTGCAAGTTTCTTCTCCAGGTCCTTAGTCAGGTCTTTGACCATGTGACCTTGCCGGTTAAAGAAATTTAAGTGAGCGAAAACTATTTGTGTACACCGAGTTAAAAAACAGTCACAACACTTTTCAGTCATAAAAAAACAAGTTCTGGACCATAATGGTGCTTTTCCACTGGCATACAGGAACCAGGCCGTGCCCGATCTGTACCACTAAGAGAGACTAGCTACAGCGCAGTTCCAGCTCGCTTCGGTTTTCCACTGCAGAAGGGTCGGGTCAATAAAGGCCAGGTTTGGAGAGAAACAGTAACATAAAACCAAAGATAAGCTTATTTACTGTTCACACAATGTATGTCACAACTTG